CCCCAGCCACTTTTTGCATTTTGCTAACTCCTCCACCTTTATCTATCGCAGCAGCCTCGATGAGGGACCAAGGATGAGCTGAGCTTAGGTGGGATGGGTCGCTCCAGGCATCCATACCGTCCTGGTCCCTATAGATGCAGCCAAGTGACCCTACAGAAGCAGCATGGTTGGTCTGGATAGCTGCAGCTGGGAGCAGCGGGCGGGATGGTGGGGAGGAGGGTGATATTAAGAGTGCGAGCGTCTGGGATACCTCGGCGATGGGGTCGGATAAGTGCTCGTGGTAGACAGATTAGTCATCGGTTCCTGATAGGGGATAATCGCTGGCTTGTCTGCTCTTTATCTGCAAGATAAGGCCGGGGTTGGGGGAGGGAAGGAAAAGGCACAGAAAAGCTGAGATGACCAGAGTGGACTGTCCCTGGTGTGGTGGTCCCTCGAGGCTTACGGCGGGGCTTGGCCACCAGCGTTGGGGGAGCAGGATCAGGGCACATGTGGGGCTGTAGGTGAAAGCCCTTGTGCTCATGCAGGGGTCGTGATTTCCTTTCTGCTGCTTCAGCTCCCCTCCCACTTACGTGGTTGTGTTCACTCAAAATTATTCTGCAGAGGGAGCAGCAGCAGCATCCTGTCCCTTCAGCACGGTGCAGGCTGTGCCTAGAGCTTGCTGGAAACGCTCTTGGGCAGCGACTGTTAGCAGAAATTAAAGGAATTTTGTAAAGGACATTAAATACAAATAGCTGTATCTGACTGGGTCAGGAGTGTTCTCAGCCTTTGCCGGAGGAGCAGAACCCCTTGGGTTGATGTCCTCTCGCTTACAAGCCAAGAAGAGACAGTCACCCTGCTGAGCAGGCATCCTGGAGCCTGATTTTCATGAATTGCATTTGAGCTCCTGGTTCAGCAACGTGCAGGGCTGGGGCGTGCGCAGCATCCCGAGCTGTCTCCACGTGAAAGTGATGTCTGCTCCCCAACCACATCCCAGTCAAGTAGGGAAGACATCGTTAAGATTTGATTGGGAACGTGTCTGCTACAGCATCCCTTGGCTGTCCGTGCAGGACCTCACTCTTCCCATGCTGACCCCCTTCCTCACTCAAGAGGGAGATGAGATGAGAGAAGCAAACCAAAGTGGAGCAAAGCATCCTCCAGCCGCACCACTCCCTCTTTGGCACTGGTTTTCCCTGAGGAGTTTCTGCAGAGCAGGACTCGAAAGCAGGGAACCGAAAAGCTGAGTTTCTGTTCCCTTTTGTGCTCTTGACTGCTTGCTGGAGCTGTGCTGCTGCCTACCCCGCGGGCCTGGGAAGCCGGAGTATTGCTAGGAGGTAGTGCAGGTTCGGGGGCAAAATGGGAATTGAAAGGGGCAAGGCAAGGGGAGGTGGCTGTAAGCTGTTGTTTAAAGCACTTGCGGTTTGGTTTTGGTGTTGTTTTTTTTTTCTTTTTCTATTCTCTGGAAAATGAAATACAGCCTGTGAACGCACGTGTGTGGCTGCTGAAGGCCCTGCTCTGGTCACAGTTTGCTCTTTGAAGGATTATTGATCCTTTGCTCTTTCCAGTGGAGGGTCTCTCCCAGGCAAGTACATTGATGCACAGGGACTTGTCCCCTGTCCTAAAGCAAATGAGGGGCAGAACCAGGTGTTTAGCCCGGGGCTCTGGAGCCCCCATGCAGATACCTGTGTTAGACCATTCCTAACACGGGGAAGGGCTTGCAGGAATTGGAGCTTTACTGATGCTTTAAACAAACCGGTGATGTGGAGCAGGAGGAGCACCCTGGGCGATCCCTGGAGCCGGGGAGTGCTCTGGGCTCTGCAGCTGTGCTGCTGGCACCCCCAGGGCTTTGAAGGAAGGCAGGGCTCTGCTCTTCCTCAGCCTCACCTCACGTGGGGTGCAGAGGGAGGTGGGCTAGGCGTTAGCCCTGTGGTCAAGACCCCTCCTAATGGCTGCTGCCACCACTGTGGAAGGAGAGCGTGATGCTGCCGGCTGGGGCTCACTGCCTGGGAACCTGGTTGGTTTTCCCTCGCCTGAGCTGATAAAATAGCGGTAGGTCCATATAAGATAGAAGTAGATCCACTCCTTGCTGGTGGGACTGCTGACCCTGCTGCTATAAACACGGTTGTCTCTTTTCTCCTCCCTCCCCGTCCCTCCAGGTGCTCCTGACCCCACTGCTGGGGCCAGCATTGACGACGAGAACTGCTGGCACTTGGATGAGGAACAGGTTCGAGAGCAGGTGAAGCTGTTCCTATCTCAGGGAGGGTACTACGGCTCGGGGAAGCAGCTCAACTCCATGTTTGCCAAGGTGAGGAGGAGCCGGTTGCTCTCTCCCCTCTCGGAGCGTCACGTAGCCAGCAGCTCGCCGGCTGCCCTGGCAGGGTGCCCGTCACAGCTGGGAATCTCTGCTCCACTGCCTTCTTGCCTGGTCACGGAGCAGGCAGTTGTAATCCAGGCTCTGAGTCAGGCCTGGGTTGTCTCACCCGCTCTGCTGGCAGGTCTCTTCCTCCCATGCGATGGGCTTGCCGTGATCCCTGCACGAGGGAGGGCTTTCCCCCATCTCCCCATCGGCATGGTGTGGGGAAGGCCAACCCTGCAGAGCATACTGAGGTGGTGGAAAAGTGGCACCAGCCTAGAGGCTTAGCTCTTCTTTGCAGAAAGGCCTTGTTTTCATGTTCTTGATTGCTTAGTCCTCTTCACAGCCTAGGCTGTGGCTGCTACTCAGTTGGACTCCAGCTAGCCATGTCACAACCATTGCATGACTGTTATAATATATGACTGTACATTATACACATATACATGTATATATTTACAGTCTGGCCACCCAAACTGAGGGACCTGTGGGTTGCCAGCCAGGTGACCGTGTCTTAAACACCTCCGAGGGACCTTGGTTTGTCTCACCAAAGACTTTTTCTCTGTCCTTTCCAGGTCCGGGAGATGCTGCGCATGAGGGACTCCAATGGGGCCAGGATGCTGACGTTGATAACGGAGCAGTTCATGGCCGATCCTCGGCTCTCCCTTTGGAGGCAGCAGGGAACGGGCATAACGGAGAAGTGCCGGCAGCTCTGGGATGAGCTGGGTAAGAGCCACTGCCTTGCAGAGAGCAGCAGCAGGGTTGCCTGGGCTGCCGGGCCAGCAGAAATCACCCCGGAGGCCTTTGGCACTCTTTTTTGGGGGCAGAGGCCCGGAGAGATGCCAGGAGCTTACTCTATCCCCTGCTGGGACAACTGGATCAGGCCCAGTCTACACAGTTCAACACCTTAAACCAGCCCCTCTCCTGCAAAAGGGGTCAAGGACGATGGGTGTGCAGAGGGTGGCTGGTCCCATACTTGCAGCAGCCTGGTGTTTGGTGTGCTGCCCTGAAGCCTTTGCGAGGGAGGACACAGGGGCTGGACGGAGCCTGGATGTAGAAGTGCTGTTCCTGGAGGAACTGTGATCCAGAGGGGAAAAAGCAGTTTCTCAAGTCTCATCCCGTCTAACAGATTTCTGCCTGCTGTGGGTGCGTGTGTCCAGGGTGAGGGCGGCAGGATGGCCAGCGCAGAGCCTGGCTTTAAGGGAAGTGCAGTTCTGGGTAATTCTAGCTAAGCATCTTAGACGCCAGCTCAGCTGGCTGACACCATAATATCATTAGAATAAAACATTTAGATGACGTGGGCCCAGGGAGGTTGGTTGTGTGGTAAAGTTAACCCAGCAGTTCTGGGCTCTCCTGGACATCTGAGGTCTTGGGTGAATAGTTTGACTTGTGCCATGGTTTTATGTGTGAGTTTGAGCTTCTCTGCAGCCTGCTGGTCGGAAATGCTGTGTAAGGGCAAGGGCTCATGGGCTGGGACCAAAGGGGTGTTGCAGAGCTGGAAGAAGGATGAGGGTGGTCCAGGGTGTGGAGCACCTGAAACTGCAACTGGGATGACAGACCCTCTTACCAAGTGGCCAACAAATGCAAACATGGCCATGAGACTGGAGAGCCTGGCCAAAGTGCGCAGACAAGGACTGGGCAGGGATGGGATGTCTTGCTTCTGTGTGAAGTTCCTTGGATGGAAATAACCATGCTGGCCCTGGAGAGCTCATCTGTGCTTGCTTGCCAAGAAGATATTTCCAGGATTTTGGGACGCTGCAGCTAGATGGTTGGATATGCAAGGATCCTGGAGAGCTGGCAAAATCCGCCAAGCCAGAATTTCCACACGGGAGAAAGCAAACACGTCAGTGAAACGTGGATGGATGGGTGTCTGGGCAGGCCTGGACGCAGGAAGCAATTTGCCCAGAATTACAGATTATTTGGCCGGATTTCAAACCCGCTATCCAAGCCGAGAGCCCTCCCTCCCTTCCTGCACACACAAGGGGGGAGCGGTTGGGTTTCAGTCCTGGCTTAACCATGCAAGGACCATACAAGCTACCAGCTTGTAGCTTTGGTCGGCGGAGTGGGAGGAGGCGACAGCACGTCCCCATCAGCAGATGACAAGGTGGCTAGGGAATGTCAGGGCCCTACCAAGGCTGGATCAGCGTGTCAGCAGGTGAAGCGTGGTGTCAGCCAACGCGCGTCAGAGCAAGTGGCTAGCCTGGCATAGGCCTGTCATGCAGGAGGGTCTGGGCATCTCCATGCTGAAGAGAAGCCCCTGCAGAGGACATGGTGGTGGTCCAAGAAGCGGCTCCAGGGCAGGATGGGCATGGAATATACTCAAAGCAGGGATTACTCCCCCCATCTTACAGAAGCCTTTTGGATTTGGCCTTGGGCAGCATTTGCTGTAGGAACAGAGCATCCTTCTGAAGGAGAAGAAGGGATGAGGGGAGAGGGACCAGAGCTGCAGGGAGTTAGTGGCATTTTCCAGCAACAAACATCAGCAACGCAAAGAGATGTCCCAAACCATCACCAGGCGGGTGACAGTAGCTGGGGCGTGTGGGGTGGTGAAGGCACGTTGTCCGACTGCCTGTGGGCTGCGGGTGCCAAAGCTGCCTGGCGTTACTGCTGCAGCCAAAGGGAGGGATGAGGGACCTGTTGCCAGCTGCCGCAGGGAGCCCCGGCACAGACCGCATTCCCCTGCCACATGGAAAAGAAAAATGGGCCTCGCAGAAATTATTTTGGGCACGTGTTTAATAATTAATCATTGATTTTTAGCAAAGACTGCATCACAGGCTTGTGTGGGATTGGAAGAAGATCAGCCTTAAAGAAGATTGTGGATTTATGCTGGGGAAAATGTAAAGGATTTTGCAGGATTTCAGAGTTTTAAAAAAAAAAAAATTAAAATAAAAATGGCATGATTTGCTTGCGCGTGTGCTGCCAGCTGAACATCTATTGCCCCGTCTGCTGGGGAGCCAAAGGAAAGACCTGCTGGATGGAGAGCTCTGCGGCGTGGGAGTATTTGCCCTGGCGCATTAGTACTTACGATTAAAGCCTAATTACAAAAAATAGACGAAAACCCAGCTGAAGTGCAGCCTGACCTTAATCTGCCTGGAGACGGGTTTATTTATCTCGGCCACTTGTTTACAGTGGGGAATTTCAGCAGATTAAGCCGGGGAGCGACCCTGTGGGAAACAAGAGAATTTCTTTGATGGTTTGGAAACTTGGGCGCGGGATCGGAGCGCTTGTCCTCTCCAGGGCTGGCAGCCGGGACTGCTGGGCTGGGAAGGCTCCGACCCCCCCCCGTCCCTGCACCCAGCCCCGTCATCAAAAAGCATTTTTGTTTAGAGGCTTAGCTTAATCGTGATCTGCCGCTTTGTTCCCCGCTTAACCTCCTGCTATCAGAAAGTTCAGATGAAGGTTTCCGCAGCATGTGAACAGACACAGAGTCTGACCCGGCGTGGCGTTTCGGCTCAGGACAGGAGTCACTTGTGCTGTCAGCTGATGTCACTTGACCATAGGGCTCAGAAAACCCCTCTTTTCCATCTCCCAGATAAGTATTGCGGCTGAGACAGATGCGAATCCCTCTTCCCTCCTTGTCCCCACCTCCCTGCCACATCTTCCTTTCTGCAGGATAGCCCAGGGGCACAGCGTTTTGGCAGGCAAAGGATGCCTTGGAAGGCTCCCAAAAATAGGCTGCAAAGTCATGAGGCTTCTGAGGATCGCATCTTAGCCGAGCTGTGGGAGCCAAAAATCCAGCAGGCACATCCCGTTTCTGGGGGCGGCGGACCTGGACCGCCTGTCAGCCGAGCCGCTCTGTGCATCATCAGAGGCGTGAGCCGAAATTGCCAGAGGCTGCTTTTTTGCACAAGCAGCCCCAGGAGCAGGCAAAGAGGGGCAATGACAACAGGCGGGAGCGCTGGTGGAAAGGGGATGCTGGAAACCATTTGGAGCCCCGGGATGCCCAACACCAGGAGCTGAGCGCAGGATCTAGCTCATGGCTGCCAAGGAGGTGGGGAGTTTTATGCCCTCAGGGTGGCAGTGGGCAGGCACCCACTGCTCAGCTGAAGAGCAGTAACCAGAGCCTTAAGAAAGACTCATTTTCTGGAGCTGAGACCTGGTTTTCCAAAGACTCCGTGTCTGTGCAGCCCCTGTGGAGACTGCAGGAGCCTAGAAGTAAGTGACACAGACCTGCTCTGGGAGGGATGGGCTCTGAAAGCCCCGAAGGAGATAGCTCTTCTCTTGCACATGCATTAATCACTGATTTTGCAAGTCAAAAGTCTTATACCCCCTTATTATCAGAAAGGAGTGGGATTTTGGTGGGGTTTCCTGGGAGCAGCAGAGCTGAGACATGGATGGAGCTGGACCAGGCAAGGCCTGCTTTGAATATTTGCTGATCTTCAGTGCCTGCAGTTCCCTTTTCTGTGCCCGTTCCTGGATGCAATGCTGCTGTCACCATCTGCGTTGTGACACCGTGACGTCTCTCCTGCCGAGCCAAGCCGCTCCGAGGAGCTGGATGTGCACAGCCTCCATGCCTTATTAATGATTTGAACTAAACGTGTCCACAAGTCCCAACTGGCAGAGGACAGGTCCCGGGAGATGGACCCCAAAAGCACCACCAAAACTCAGCTTTAACCCAGAGGAGCAGGGAAACACTAGAATGAAGCTGGAGTCAAAACCAACCTGGTTTTGCCTTGTATTACCTGGAAAAAGGACCG